TATTAGATCAATGAGGAATTAAGTTTGGAGTTTGGTTGTCTTCAATGGCGTGAAAGAATGGTAATTCCCCAAAAATTAAGATCTTTAATTTTAAATGACTTGCATTAAATACACATGGGGATTGTTAAAATGAAGATGATTACCAGACGGTATTTTCTGGTGGCCAGGCATAGAAAGTAACATCGAGGAGTTAACTAGAGAATGTAGAGTATGCCAAGAATCGGCAAGCATGCCCACGGCTATCATCTCGGAATGGACTTGGCCCGAAAAACCGTGGCATCGACTTCATCTTGATCTAGCGGGTCCGTTCATGGGAAGAATGGTTTTGGTTCTCGTGGACGCATACTCAAAGTGGATAGAAATTTTTATCATCGAAGATATTACCAGAAAAACGATTATAAGTCATCTTAGAGAAATTCTCGCCAGAATTGGATTGCCCTATTTTTTGTTACAGATAACGGAAGACAGTTTGTCTCCGGTGAATTCGAGCAATTTACCAAAATGAATGGTATACGGCACACTAACACCAGTCCGTATAATCCTAATACAAATGGTTTAACTGAGAGATATGTAAGAGAGTTTAAAAACCTTTTGAGAAAGAATAATGGGAAGATGGATTTAGAGACGAATCTACAAAGATTCCTATTTGCTCATAGAGCATTCCCCCAAACTGTAATAAAGGAATTCCCCCGCGGAACTGCTAATGAAGAGAAGTTTAAGATCAAGATTCTCGAATTTAATACCAAGATGGGAAATCCGCGAGAGGTATTTCACGAGGCCGTAAGAAGGCAGGAGCAGTTTACTACTGGTTGCGAGGTTTATTTCCGCAACTATGCAACTGGACCTAAACGGTAAAAAGGTACCATTTTGGAATTATTGAGCTACCGTCACTACCTTATAAGTTGCGAGGGCGTCGTGTATAAGAGGCATATCAATCAATTGCGACCTGTGAGAAAGAAACAAGTGGAGACAAGAAATTTGATACTTCCTCGAACATCAGGAGAGAAGCCTGTAGGTGGAAGTCAGAAATAAAGTGAAGAGGAGGTTCCAGAGGTTACATCAGGAAACAAGGAGGAGACTGCTTCTGTGCACGTACTTGCACTCCTATACCAGGGCCTGTTGCTGTTCACGTGCCCTCTTGCACTCCTAAACCGGAGGCTGCCGCTGTGCAAGTGCCCGTCCGCAGTTCTAGACCTCAGAGAGCCAGGAAACCCCTAGACTGGCTGGAGTATTATTAAGGGGGGAGATGTGTTGTGTATGTAAATAGATGAAGATTATTTGCATTCTTTAAAGTCTCATTATTTAAGAATATATGTGTATATAAATTGGACATTTTTTGTTGGCCAAACGAAAAAATTCTGAGGCTCTTTATTGGACACGACAAAAACAAAACGGCATTCCAGAGTAAAATAAGTCATCAGAGATAGATAAATATTTTTCAAATGAATTAAAATAAATATAATCGATACTGAGAGAGAGTTGAATTTTAAAAAAATATAAAATTATTATTTTCGAAATATAAATATCTGAGAGGATTCCAGCAAACCGCATCTAAAATATCAGGTTTTTTTTGCTATATGTTTTAATTTGCATATACCTATTTTACATATCTCAGATTGTATTAAAAATTGTTAACCATTTCTTCTAACTTTTGGCGAAATGGTGTTTTATTAATTTATCATTTGATATTATTAGGGTTCTTTCCTGGTATTCAAAAAGTAAAAATACGTGTCGTTCAGTTATATTTTTCAATTTATCAAACAATTTGGCCGCTGAATCGCAGATTCCGGTAGGGCGCCATCTAGCGAATAAAGTTGTAACTAAACTCAATTTCGAATTTTTCATTATTTGCCATAAAAAATCCCATTGCATCCTGAACACAATGGTGTTTACCGCATTGCTCTAGCGCTAATAATCGCGGAGTTATTAATTTTTAAAGTTGTGCGGGACTTTTGGATCCCCCTGTATATAAATGAATGTTTGTATGTTTGTTTGTTTGTTTGTTTGTATGTCCAGTATACAAATTCGCAGTAGTTCACTAATTCAAACCAAAATTTCCATACATAGGTAAAAAAATACGGGAAAGACGATTGGCTATTTTAAAAAATATATAAATCAATTATTAAAACTATATATTCAAATTATTCTACTTAGCTCACGAACAGCGCCCTCTATCAACGATTAAATTATGCTGATGCAAACAAATAGATAATCCTAATAACAAACAATTATAAAAAAAATCTTATCTAAATATATATCACTCGGGTAGATATGCACACAGGTCAATCCCTGGGCGAAGCCCGGGTCACCCGTCTAGTATTTTGATAATTTAAAACTCGTAAATTTGAATCTCTCGATAAAGTGAACATTTTTCCCGGTCCCTTGAAAAATACTCGATAAGTTGAATAAAATCAATATTAATTGGTTCCTTCGGTAATTGGAAGTTAAAGGAATTTCGCCTTGGAATTGTATATATATATAAATTGCCGTGTCATCCTGAATTTTGTCTTTCCTAATTTTCTACATTACAAAATCATCGTTTTATCTAGTGAACATTTTTCCCGGTCCCTTAAAAATACTCGATAACTAACTTTGACTTGTGCGCAATTAATAGGTAGAAAATCTTACTTTTGATAAATAATCTTTAAGATAATAAACTTAGTGATAATAAAACTTATAGATAAAAAACTTGTTATCATCGTCGCAATGGGGGCGCTGCTTGCGAGTTAAATTTACAAATCTGCACATAACTCTAAGGATATTCAAGATATTCAAGAAATTATTTTTCAGAAACCTTCCCAGTACTATACTAAATAACTTTCCTAAGTTTCATGGCGTTCCAATGAGTGGTTTGGTCAGGCATAAAGGACACACCCACACACATACATTCATTTATATATATACTAGCGGGTGTACCCGGCTCCGCCCGGGTTTTACTCGAGGGAAGTTGTTTTCTTGGCCGACTGTTTTACATATGGTGTTATCTTAAAATTGCTTGTTTTGAATATTTTTTTAGATTGAGATTATTAGCTAGTATGTAAAAAAAATTAACTCTGTTGTGAAATTTATTTTTTTATTTTATATAAATAAAATTAACTCTGTTGATTTTTTTTGTATTTAATCGATAACAGCGAAGTTACGCATGTTAATGTTAGGAAAAATATTTTGATGTTAAGCAAAACCTGCTCCATCTCGTTTTACATAAATGTTGAAAATTTGGTCGAAATTGATGCATTGTAACGAAAGTTTTTAGCGAACACCACTTATGAAATTTCCATTTTATTAATATAGATACTAGCGGATGTACCCGGCTTCGCCCGAGGTTTTACCCGAGTAAAGTTTTGTTAAAACAATTCTCTATAAACTTATAAAAAAAAAGATATATTTTGATAATTTGAAACTCTTAAATTTGAATCTCTCGATAAAGTGAACATTTTTTCCCGGTCCCTGTGTGCCGTGTCATCCTGAATTTTGTATTTCATAATTTTCTACATTACAAAATCATCGTTTTATCTAGTGAACATATTTTCCCGGTCCCTTGAAAAATACTCGATAAGTTGAATAAAATCATGGTCGTGAATCTCTCGATAAAGTGATCATTTTTTCCCGGTCCCTGTGTGCCGTGTCATCCTGAATTTTGTCTTTCCTAATTTTCTACATTACAAAATCATCGTTTTATCTAGTGAACATATTTTCCCGGTCCCTTGAAAAATACTCGATAAGTTGAATAAAATCATGGTCGTTTATGGAAGATGGACGTAGTTCCCGGAGGTCACCCGCGAGGCTTTTTTCTTGTCTGTTTTCACAGCTGTGTCACCAACTCTGCCCCCGCGCGCCAGGACCTCTTGATCCCTCTGATTGGTCGGTGGGAACTTGGACTGTCCAACAACCGGCCGGCGGCCGGACGGGGGGGGGGGGGTCAGACCTAAGCCTATCTCCGTCGCAAGGTGGCGCTGCTTGCGAGTTAAAGCTACAAATCTGCAAATAACTCTAAGGATATTAAAGATATTCAAGAAATTATTTTTCGAAAACCTTTCCGGGGATATGCCTAATAATATCCCAAAATTTCACGGCGATTGAATGTATGGTTTTTGAATCCATAGAGGACACACAGACAGACATTCATTTATATATATATAGGCTAGACGTATGACCCGGCTTCGCCCGAGAATTCCCCCGATTGCAATTTCCTTCATACTGAAAGTACATCAATAATAAATATTAGAAGTGCCATAGAATAGCAATACAGAAGTAACACATAAACTAAAGGAAAAAAGTGTGTGTGATGGCAAAAATTGTGTATTATATTAGTGTTTAGGTATTTGATTTAATTAATATAGTTGATATAATAATATATTAAAAATGGCATATCCTGACCAGGAGCACATGTGCTTTTCAGAAGGCAGAGCGCCATCTGGTGGAACAGAAATCAACTAAACATTGATTTAGCCTGTTCCCTGACATTTGGCCAACCCATTATTTTGGTCGCAATGGTTCAGCCTACTCCACGCTGACGAGCGCCAAAAGCGCGAAACGCGTTCGTGGATGGCTTTTCTTGATTTATCAAGAAATTGGGTTGGCCAAATATCAGGGAACAGGCTAAATCAATGTTTAGTTGATTTCTGTTCCACCAGATGGCGCTCTGCCTTCTGAAAAGCACATGTGCTCCTGGTCAGGATATGCCATTTTTAATATTGATTTCAACACCTGATCTTTTTATCTTTTATTTTTTTCTTTCGTTTTTAATAATAATATATATTTATATTATTTCTCTATATATAAAAGTCAATGTCTGTCTGTCTGTTTCGCGATAAACTCAAAAACTACTGAACCAATTGGTACCAAATTTTGCATGTCGCTTTTTATAAACCTGAGGAAAATTTTCGGCTACATTTTGATTAGTATTTTTGGCTATTTCTTTTTTTCATTTGAAGAACTTTTTTTTTTACGCGGAGTAAACCGGAATGGAATGGATACCCAAATATGGCCATTTTTTATAAGCATCGGTGGTTCAGTGGTAGAATGCTCGCCTACCACACGGGCGGCCCGGGTTCGATTCCAGGGCCAATGCATTTTTTTTTACAATTTTTAAAACTCATTTATATTATATACAAAATAAAAATATATTATATTATATCAACTATATTAATTAAATCAAATACCTAAACACTAATATAATACAATTTTTGCCATCACACACACTTTTTTCCTGTAGTTTATGTGTTACTTCTGTATTGCTATTCTATGGCACTTCTAATATTTATTATTGATGTACTTTCAGTATGAAGGAAATTGCAATCTGGGGAATTCTCGGGCGAAGCCGGGTCATAAGTCTAGTGTAAATATATAATGTAATGAATATTATTATCATTATTATCATAATTATCTGTGTGTTCTGGAATATTATTATCAATAATATTCGTTAGGCAAACTTTCATTCGGATAAAACCCGGGGAAAGCCGGGTACATATCTATTAGTTTTTATATATATTTGATAAACAATATCTGATCACGTGTATGAATTGAGTGTATATAAATTGTGATTGGAAAATAAAGCAAGCTGAAGGTTGGTTATTTGGATCCTAGGGGCACCGCTCCATTCTTGGGGAGACTAACGCGCCCATTATTCCTAGAATTTCCTGGGTGAATTACTAGAACAAGCAAAATTTACCAAAACCTTTCGGACTCTCTAGCTGGTTGGATGAATATGGATGCAATGGGTTCGGAATGGAAAAAATATATTTACTCTTGATGAAAACATTTTAGTTAAAAAATTTGGATATCTTGAATTCTGATTGATGGGAAAATTGTAGGGAATTGGGTATATTATATTCAAATAAAGCAAGAAGAAAAGGATTATGCAAATCAAGTTTAAAATTGGGTATAGCGCGATAAGTATTAAATATTATGATAACATTAATAAGTCTTGAAGATATTGAACAGGTGCAGAGAAGAAGATGAAGAGGATAAGTTGCAAGCCAAGAAAAGAAGCTATGCAGGGCCCCCTCCTCAAGGAAGTGTTGATTGACAGATTCCAGAGTAGGGGGCGGCAGACAAATAGTCCAGCTGGTGCCGTCGTGAAAGAAGGATCCAAGAGAGCGGTCGGCCTGAAGGAAGTTTGTGCGCCGAGAGGACATCGCAGTCTGGGGGAGAAGTCAGTCTGGTGACATCGAGATCTGCGGCAAGTAAAAGACGGTGGCGAGTTACCTCCGGGGCGTGTGAATGATCCTGCAAGGCGGTGCCAGGAGAGCCTGGCATTGGAGCGACCTACAAGGCGGTGTAGTCAAAGCTGCAGGTGTATGTTGCAGAGCGGAACGCTTCACAAGAGGACATCCACGGCGCCAATAATTCTTATGATAGGGAGGTTGAAGCTCAGTCCCTATTGTATTCCTTCTGTTTAAAACCATAATAAAGCGTTAATTTTAACCGCAATTCCTTCGAACTCACATGTATACCTTTGTGGCATTTTGAGTTGACAAAGTACACGAATAACGTCTGGGTATGACGTAACAATATTTTAATAAAATACTTAGTGAAAGAATGAAGCAGACTTTCTGAGATCGAGTGACCGCCCTTTTAAGCAAAACTATATCAAGGCTGATTTTAATGAATCGAGTTCCAATAGTATGATTCTTTTGCCAAGAGGCTACATGTGGCTGATATGAATTTCAAAAAGAGGATCCAGCTATAGAAGCAACCTCAAGAAGAGTATCCGGCTATAAGTGCGATTCCAAGAAAAATATTCAGCTAAAGAACAACTTCAAAAAGAGGATTTAGCTATGGGAGCGACTTTAAGAAGAGGACAAAGCTATAAGAGCGACTTCAAGAAGATTATTCAGTTGTTGGAACAACTTCAAGAAAAAGAAGATCCAGCTTCAGGGACAACTCAAAAAAATGATCCAGCTATAAGAGTGACTTAAAAAAGAGAATTCTGCTTAAAGAGCGACTTCAAGAAGATTATTCAGTTGTTGGAACAACTTCAAGAAAAAGAAGATCCAGCTTCAGGGACAACTCAAAAAAATGATCCAGCTATAAGAGTGACTTAAAAAAGAGAATTCTGCTTAAAGAGCGACTTCAAGAAGAGGATACAGCTATTAGTGGGTTTTCAAGTAGAGGATTCAGCTATAAGAACGACTTTACAAAGAGGATTTAGCTGTAGGAACAACTTCAAGAAGCGGGTCCAGCTATAAGAACGACTTTAAAAAGAGGATCCAGCTATAAAAAGGACTTCAGAAGGAGGATCCAGCTATAGGAGTGACTTTAAGAAGAGGATACAGCCATAGGAATGACTTCAAGAGGATACAGCTATAAAAACGAAATCACGAAGAGGAACCAGCTGTAGGAAAAACTTCAAGAAGATATCATTTTCACGGTCAGAATTGTGCGCGGTTATTTTATCAATCAGACTAGTGAAATATTATAAAATAAAAATCGGAGTGGAGAGTGCTACCTTTCGGTCAGATTCTGCCAGAGTCTGGAGTTGGATAACACAACTAGGTCTAGAGATCTCTCTAATCTAATCGGTAAATGTGTGGGTGGAAATTCAGAGTTTTAGACAAATCCGAGAGTGGTGCTGTTCCCTACAGGGAATAATTCAGCAGGTATCGCCTCGCGGGGAATTTTGAGTTCCAAGTTGAATAAATCTTCTATTTTGTGGAAAGTACTTACCTGTTTATTGGCAGAATCAACATAATATCCCAATTTTCCCCCTGTGTTTGAAATTAATTGGCAAATTGAGCTCCTGAGTGTTCATGCCCTCTGTGAAACACCTTTTTTTGTTGTCTTTGGGATTATTGGCCCCAAACCTTAATGCGTATATCTGAGTAGTGGCCTGGATATTGCGTTCTTGCCATAATAGTTTTTACTGTGTGGAGTGATATCAAACTCATTTAGCCAAAGATGGATTAAGAAATGTTCATATACTACCTCAAGCAATTCATTTCCAGCAGTTCAGGGAAGAATTGAGAAGTTTGACCACTTGAGAAATAGCGAAGTGCACAAGAAAGATTTTAATTTAACACCATTACTCGTTGATCAAGAAATCCTTGGAGCCGGTAGTTGAGTGAAATGTTCTCTATCTAAGATTTACAACAAAAACATTCTGCGCTAATTCCTTCTACAGAAAGGTAGCCCAGATGATTATTCAAAAGGTTTATATGAGGGCTCTGCACAGAGGTGTGCACCTGATGCTGTCCCCCTTGAGACAGAAGTATTGGATGCTGAGACAAGGAGATATAACACCATTGAACACTTCTAATTCTGTGGTGTATATTATGGTGGACCTGTGAACCTTTAATTGCCCGAGGGTAAAGGAAGAAGCACTGAAAGGGCTGCATCTGTTTATTAGTGTTTTCTGTGACAAACCTGTACATCTTGAATTGGTCACAGATGTTTCTTCGTATACTTTACTGTCGGCCTTTAAGCGATTTTCAACTAGAAGAGGACATTGCACTCAGTCATATCGTGATCATGGAACAAACTTTGTTGGACCTATACAAAAATTTCGTTCATTTTTCTGTCTGGCTAAAAATTAATTAAAGGATTTATGTTGGACACCAGCGCCGCCACTCAAGTATAACACGTGACCGGAAGGATGACGTCGGCCCACCCCCCCCTCCTACTGACTGTAAAAGTTTAGCCTAACGACGCTGTTGTTTGTTTACCTTTTACGGAGGATGTAACCTATTTGTTTCCTCTCTTTCCCTATTTAATCTTTATATAACCTATGCTTTAATAAATTATTTAGTGCAAGGCTCTTGTCCTAAGTGTAACCAAGTACCTTGTCTACACCCCTACAAGAGAAGATTATGAGACTGATTGAAGCTGCCTGAAGCATTGAACGGTAAGCCTTTTTTTTGTTCTCTCTCCCCCCCCCCCCCCCTTCAGTGGACGCCATCTTATAATGGAAGCTAACGAAAGTTTAACGAAAATTACCAAGCTAAATGGATTAAACTATTTCTCATGGAGCTTCCAAATTAAGCTCATTCTGATGGACAATGACTTATGGTCAATTGTTGACCCAGGCGAAGTCAAACCCGAGGGAGGGGATGTTGGTCTAATCAACAAATTTAATACGAGGCAGAATAAGGCTTTAGCAAAGATATGTCTCTCTATTGGTGAGGAGCAGCAGAACCATATCAGACGTCTAAATTCCCCCAAAGAAGTTTGGGATGAATTACAAAGACTTTATGCACCCAGGGATAGCAAACACAGAATTCTCCAACTGCGTCGAAAGTTGTACTCCCAGAAATTCTGTCAACATACGAACATGAATGCCTATTTGGGAAGCATAAATCTAATAGTGAGTGAACTCACAGGTGTGGGGGATAAAATTGAAGACGGTGATCTAAGCATGCTAATTATTTGTGGAATGCCCGAGGACTGGGATAATGTTATATCAACAATGTGTAACTTACCAGAGTCAGAGTTCACCAGTGCCAACATCAGACGTAAATTGTTAGCTGAGGCAGAGCGCCGGTATGCTACAACAAATGAAGGGATGGGTGCACTGTCAGTCAGGAACTCTAACAAGAAACAATTCCCTCATGAACATCAAGGTTCTAAAACTGTTAGAAAATGTTTCGGATGTGGGAAAACAGGGCATATTGCACGGGACTGTTTCAAACTGAAAATGAATAGCTGTAAACAACAGGAAAAGGGAGCGATACATCAACATCACGAAGCAAAGAACTTGAATGTGATGTATAATGCAGCAGTTGTATCAGAAGAGGATACGTGGGTAATTGACTCAGGTGCCACGCATCATATGACTCCGAACAGAAGGTATTTTTCCACGTTGAATGACGAGAATATAGGACAAGTGACCACCATTGATGGTACATCACATTCAAACATAGGAAGAGGTAATGCTCAAGTAGATCTGATCAACAATTCTGGACAACTTAGAAGCATAGTTGCTCAGAATGCAATGTTCGTACCTGGGATCAGACATGGTGTACTCTCTGTTCTACAAATTGTGGAAAATGGTCATGAGGTTATCTTCGACAAGAAGGGATGTCATATCTACGACAATGATCATAACTTGATGATCAGAGCAGAGAAGAGAGGAAGG